ATTATATGCAAATGAACAGTGGACAATAAAGCAGCAGGCTTTGGCTTCAGGTTGAGTAGCTGTGGCATTTGCTTGGCATTTTTTGTCAACTATTTGGTTTCAATCTGCATTCTTTCTAATCGTTAGAATTCCTCGTTTCGGCACGTTACGTTTCGCTCAAAACTTTTCGGTATTTCCGCAATATTCCGGCAATCGCACTCATCGCTAAAATACATATCGTTGATTATTGCTACGCTTTCAACGGGGTAGACGGGTGTTATCTAAAAACAATATCAATTAGGATGGCCAGCGCCCAAATGCAACCGTTTGAACCATCGGTCTTCGAGCCAAATAAATTTCTGCAGAGTCGCTTGGAACAATCAATCCTTAACGAGAAACAGGAGCTGCTAAAGGAAAGAGACCATGAGCTGGAAAGTATGCCCGAGGAGCAGAGTGAACAGACGTATAAAATCGAATACAAACATCCGCTAGAGCATGTCTGGACACTATGGTACCTAGAGAACGATCGCACTAAACACTGGAAGGACATGCTCAATGAAATCACACAAATAGATAGCATTGAAACATTTTGGGGGTACGTCGCTCTCCATCTGCAAATTTTACCAACTCTTTTTATAGATTGTAAGAGCTGTAAATCTTTCAGCTTATACTATACTATCAAAACACCATCAGAACTTAAGATTGGCAGCGATTATTATATGTTCAAACATGGCATTCAGTAAGTAAAGCGTAGTTCTTTGTCATATTCTGAAATCCTAGCACTAACTCTGATCTGCAGACCAATGTGGGAGGATGAAGCCAACATAAAGGGCGGACGCTGGCTCTTCACTGTCGGCAAGAGTTCGAAGTATGCCTTGGATCGCATCTGGTTGGATATACTGTTAATGATGGTGGGCGAGTCTTTTGAATATGCTAGTGAAATTTGTGGTGCTGTAGTTAACATACGTGCGAAAAGCAATAAGATATGTAAGTAAATTGTATATCTACAGTTAAACCAGTTAAATTTCCTATTCTTGCAGCTGTTTGGACGGCCAATGGTACCAACGAGCTGGCCGTCCTAGAGATTGGTTTTAAGTTGAAAACCTTATTACACCTACAATCGCACAACTTGCAATACCAGCTGCACTCGGATGCGATGTCAAAAGTAAATTCTGGGGTCAGATCTGTATATAGTCTATAATAACGATTATAAATTCTATAATTACGTATGTTCAGCATATAAGACTAGCGTAGTATAAGTGCTCATTAGTATAAAAACCTAATTGGATATATTTTTGACCCAAATTGTATTTTGAAATTCCAGCAAGAAATTCAGCTAGCCTACAAAAAAAAAAAAATTACCGTAACTTATTTACAATTTATAATAAAAATGATTGTTCGCTGCAGATTATTCAAAAGAAATTAAGACTTTCCCTTTATCCATTTCCATTTAGAATACACAATAAATTCAATTTTGTTTATATTTTTTTATGGTTTATATCATTGTGTCGTATATTATATCTTAAACATCATCATGCTCTCTTACAATACAACGTTTTTGGCTGTATATGCCCGTCTCAAATAAATTGAATGACTTTAAACATTAATCGTTATGTACTTTTTGTTTTTTTTTTAAATTTACTCAGTAAACATTCACAGCTTTTGCAATGCCGAACAAAGATGAAATCGAACCGATTTTGTTATTCAGTGCGTGAATGCGATTTCAAGACACTAATACGATTAGTTACATTATACGATTACATTGAACATATAGATAGATTACTATATATATTAACATATATATATATATATATTTATATATGTGCGAATAAGAATGAACTATTTACAATTATTCATAGACTTGAGCGCTACAAATCTAAATTCATTGAGAACGCCTACAATAACGCAAACGCTTCAACATTCGCGCGTGACAAATAAATCTTATACGAAATTCTAAAACTACGACCTTATACTGATTGGACGCGTGATTTTCTGTTTTTCAACTATTTTTTTTGAGATTACGAATATCGAAAGTATGAATTATGATTACGCATGTGTACGAGCGAGTGTGTTTGCAGCGAGACATACTTAAAAGCCTACACAAAAACTTCATATGGAATACGCTTATTGGAGATAGTTGAGCATTAGCCAGGGCCAGGCTCAAGCTACGCCGGCTAAATTCGGCCCACGACGGCCTTGTTTTTGCGCGTGGGCTGCACCGATAGAGGCGGCACAACCAGCATCTCCGACTGCGTGGATGGCGAATTGCTGCGCATGCTGGCACAATCCTCGTCGGCTACTTCCTGTTAATAAGCATTGGATATAGTAAATACATACATTTCTATATACCACTCGAGCTTACATTAATGTTCGTACAGCTGGCCAGACGCATCTGCGCCAGCTGCGAGGCGGGCGTCAACGAGTTGGTGCTGCCAAAAGGCGAAGTCATCATTGTGGACACCGCACGTTTCAGCTTGTTGGGGGTTTTGTTAAAGGAAAATGCGCGTCCCACCTGCAAAAGTACAAAAACGTATTTAGTTTGTTGCGACTCTCGCAATTAGTTAATTAAAGCACCTTTAGACGCGTCTTGGCAGCCAATTTGAAAGCCTTGCTCAATGTGCTGACATTTACATCGCTGATGTCCACCTCCAATTCCAGTGAAGTGCGACTCAGCAGCATTTTGTCCTGCAAAGAGCATTACAGAACATTAGTCAGCTTATATAATTGATTAGCTTTGGAAACACTCACGGCATCTGTGCGACACGTGTGCGCTGCGATTTGCATGCACAACTTTTTGAGATAGACCAGCTTATCCGTTTCCTCGTCAATGATGCTGAAGGTGTAGAGCTTCTCCTTCTCGCCACGCTGCAGCAGACCAAAGGCACGCGGACTGTCCGTCACATCGATGACAAAGCGTATCGTATTCAGCGATATCAGTTTTATGTGCTTGTGCGTTTTGGCCGTGCTGGGCGATTTGGCCGTATTGAAACCCCGCGAGCGCCGCTTGCACAGCTCTATGGAATCAGAGAACAGGTAGAGCAATAGAATGTCGCCACGCCCACTTAGCGAATCGGACAGCTCGTTGACCTCGCACTTGGAGATGAAACTGCGATTGGAGCTGACCAGGTGTGCCGGGCAGCCATCGATATCGTTGAATATGTCAAAGATGGCCATGCGCGACTCCGTGCGCCGTTTGTCCTCGTTGATGTGCAGCGTCACCTGCTTGATGGCCTTCAGCGCCTCCTCGAGTCGCGCATGATCCGCATTACTGCCAGCCGTGTGCTTCAATATATCATTCAGCAGTAGACTGATGCTCGGCAGCCGCTGCACGGGTCGGATCATAAGATCCTGCAGGCTCTGTCGCCCACACTCCGGCTTCGTTTGATTGATCTTGAGGAAGGCGTGGAAGCGTGGATATTCGCGATCACAGTACTGCAGCTGTTCCTTCATCTGCTCGTAGAAATTCACATAGGGTGGGTAGGCCTTGATCAGGTCATCGCGATGCTGTATTATGATGTCCCCGATGAGGCAATCCTCGCGCCAATTGGCATGCAGCTTGCGCAGATGCTCCAGCATGCTCTGATGCACCTCGTGAATGGGCAGAAAGTTGCCAAAGATTGATTTGATCTCCGATTTATTAAGCAACGAATCATTCGTTTCGGCCAGCTCCTCCAGTTTGTTTTTGAACAGCTGCACGGAAAGAGGGAGAAAGATTTAATTACTGTGTGGTGGGGATTCATTGCGCTGACTCTTACATTCAGTATGGTATCTAGGATGCCCACATAGTTGGACTCTGTGGTGTAGAAGTCCATAAAGTGATTGAAGCGCATGGATTTCTTGGTGGGCGTGGCCTCGCTAGCCTCTGGCTCCACATGCAGCAGCTTATCATTCTCCAGTTTATCAGGACTGGTGGTGCAGTCGAAGAAGCTATTCGA